GGCTCAACTTAAGGGTCGCCTGGCTGGCTCCGTCGGTAAAGCATGCGACTCTTGATCTCAGGGTTGTGAGTTCAAGCCCCACGTTGGCCGTAGAGCTTACTTAAAAAAAAAAAAAAAAAAAAAGACTCTATTTAGGACACAGAATTTGTAGGGACCCTCCAAATGCCTCGGCCGAAAGCCTGGCCACTGGTCTTTTGAAATCTCAGTTGCAACCCCTTCAGAACTCCTAGACTCTCACCCCTTGAGGTAGTCATAAGATGTCCGAAGCACTTGACTCCTACCTCTTTTGCCCTACAGTTGATAAAGGAGATAGACTTCAATATTGTAAAGACCTAATTGCTTTGATGAAAAATAACCATGCTAGGGGCACCCGGGTGGCTCGGTAGGTTAAGCATCTGACTCTTGGTTTCGGCTCAGGTCATGATCTCTCAGGGTCATGGGATCCAGCCTGAGTTGGGGTCTGCACTGAGCGTGGATCCTCCTTGAGATTCTCTCTCTTCCTCTGACCCTCCTCCCCTGCTCCTGCACGCTCTCTCTCTTAAAAAAAAAAAAAAAAATGCTTTAGCCGAACAATCTTTCCACTCCCTCTGGTGGGCGAGGGGTGGGGTGGGGCTATGACCTTAAGCATCACACCTTGCATGCTGGTGATTTCATCTAGTGGAAAAGACCCCTCCAGAAAGGCTCCCTTCAACCTCACTGGAAAGGCCCTCCTCGGGCGCCGCCAGCCACCCTCATGCCACCAAACTCCAGAGAACAGACTCGTGGATTCACATGACACATCTAAAGAAAGCACCAAACCCTGGCCGGGTCTGCATGCCATCTGGTGACGCTGACATGTAAGTAAAAATTTCTCAGAACTGACGCAGATGACATCTGCCAAGGCAGCTTCCCCAAGATATCCGGAACAGGCCTGTATCCTTTATCCTCACTGTTGTTTCTTTCTTTCATGGAGAGACAGTGCCCTCGTCTGCATTTCTGAAGCCCTTGCGGAAGAGGGGAAACCTCTTCTTTTGAATATGGACCTTCAGAAATGGTTTCATTATGATCCAGTGACAAATTAAGTTTCACTTTCTTTTTCTTTTTCTTTGTTTAGATTTTATTTATTCATTCAAGAGAGAGAGCGAGAGAGAGAGAGAGAGAGAGAGAGAGCACAGAAGGAGAGTGAGGGGGGGAAGCAGACTCCCCCCTGAGCAGGGAGCCCCATGCGGGACTCGATCCCAGGACTCCGGGATCATTACCTGAGCCACCCAGGCACCCCTCAAGTGCTTTATCTGAGGGGTTAGAAGGTTCAGAATTCACCAAAATCTTTTCTTTCATGTGAACTCTTAACTGACTTCACCGTGTCAGAACTTGCAAACTTGCAGGCTGTATTATTCCCGAGCATTTGTTTCCAAACAGTTCTTTGGAGGTAACTGTTTGAAGTGTTGCTGTTTTGCCAAAAGTTCATTAGCTACTGCCTCTTGTTTATGCCTGCACCATATCTTCCCAAAAGCATACCCCCAATTTTCCCCAAATAATTCCTTCAGGGCACTCCTGTGGTATTTACGATTCTGCTGTCATGGCCCCTTTAAGCAGGGACTTCCAGGAGGCAGACCTGACTCTGGGTTTGCCTCCATAGAGAGAACTTTTATCCCCTGCCTGAATTAGTGCCAAGAAATATTTCTAGTTGGCGATTCTCAGATCTAGGGTCCCGATTTAGAACCGTCACAGTTTGGAGTTGTTATGTTACTTTTGATTTCTGTAATTGCTGCCTTTGTAAAAATGACGTACCCAATAAGGAGATGATCTCCAGTGCTTACGATCTTGATAAATATGGGCTACATATGGGAAGTGCCTGAGTGTTCTCCCCAGACCCACCCTTGCTGCTCCAATGTGATCTCAGTAGGTTTCCATTCTGTTTATTTGCCCTTTGAGCAGTTATGGGGCATGACATCCAGGAAAGAGCCTTCCTGACATCAAGAGACACAAAGTCAATGGATTAAGAAAACCTGACTTTTGTTTTCAGATTTATTTTTTGAGAGAGAGAGAGAGTGTGTGTGGTGAGGGGGAGAAGGGCAGAGGGAGAGAGAGAAGCAGATCCCCCTCTGAGCACACAGCCTGATGCAGGGCTCGATCTCATGACCCCGAGATCATGACCTGAGCTGAAATCAAGAGTTGGATGCTTAACCGACCGAGCCACCCAGGCGCCCCAAGAAAACCCAACTCTTGATCAGCGATGCCTTTGGAGAAAGAGCTTGATCCAAATGGGGAAATGTGAAAATTGATAGAGAAACCTCACAAAAAGTAGAGTGGGGGAGCCCTACCTCTCAAAGTCAATTACAAGAAGTGTCAATTACAGCCCCAACAGAAGAATCCTCAACAAGAAAGAATCATCAACTAGAGACCCCAACAGGAAACAATGGACATGGCATCTCCTACAAGAAACTGACTATCCCAGCAACTTAGCCAATGAGAAACCATCATCACCCTGAACTCCTGCTTCTCCCCAATGAACTTTAGTTCAAAACAAGCCCTCCCAACTTCCTCCTTCTCCATAAAATAACGTACCTCTCCTTTGTTTATTGGACATGCCTATGATTTGGCCGCAGCTGGCATGTCCCAAATTGTGGTTCCTTTGCTATTTGTGAATGAATCCATTTTGCTGGTAAAATAACTGGCTGTTTAATTTTAAGGTTAACGACGCCTACAATGGAATATTGCTGGGCCATAACGGGGAATAAAGCACTGACATGCTACACCATGGATGAACCTCAAAAACATGGTGAGTACAAGAAGCCAGACACAAAAGGTCACATGGTGCATGATTCCATTTATATGAAATGTCCAGGACAGGTGAGTCTGTAGAGATAGGAAGCAGATTGGTGGTTGCCAGGGGCTGGGGGAGAGGAAAAGGGGAGTGACAGCTAATGGGGAAGGGGTCTCCTTTTGGGGTGATGGGAATGTTCTGGAACTAGATAGAGGTGGTGGCTGCACAACATGGTGAATGTGCTATCTGCCACTGAATTGTTCACTTTCAATGGTTCATTTCTTGTTATTTTAACTGAATTTCCTCTCAATTAAAAAAAGAAAACCCAAGGAGGTCATTCGTCAACTGGGGGTGGCCTCTGAAGCAAGTGACCTAATCACTTTGTGCCTCAAACGGAGGTTTGGGGGCCTCCCAGGCATAGGAGAGCAGGGCATTGTAAGCCACCACAGGACACCCTGCCCATCCACAGTTGGCCAGTTAAACGGGTGTCCCGCCCTCTCTGTTGGGACTCCCCCCTTCCTGGGAATCATCCTCCGGAGATAGGCACAAGTCACACCAGCTCTGGAAGCCCTGGCCCTTAGAAGGCCCCAGCCAGGAAATGCCCTCTGTGTTTTAAATGTACCTAGGGGCGCTTGGTTGGCTCAGTCCTTAAGCGTCTGCCTTCTGCTCAGGTCATGATCCCTGGGATCGAGCCCTGCATCGGGCTCCCTGCTCGGCGGGAAGCCTGCTTCTCCCTCTGCCACTCCCCCTGCTCATGTTCCCTCTCTCACTGTCTCTCTCTCTCTGTCAAATCAATCAATCAATCAATCAATCAATCTTTAATAAATAAACAAATAAATAAATGTACCTAACCTCATCTGTGACCCAAAGAAAGCCAAATTAAAGCCCCTAGGATGTGGCGGCCAATAAGACTGTGTCCTGCCGTCCAGTGGCCTGTGGCTGGGAGGTGGCACCCCCGCCACTCAGCCACATAGGGCCAGTACAGGGACCATCTGGGAGGCATGGAGCGCACGCACGCGCGCGCACGCATACACACACACAGACACACGCGTGCAGACTTAGAATGGAAGGCACACTCCCACTGGCTCAGATATTTGATTCCGGCCCCTAATGGGCCCATGATCTGATGTTGCAGCTGAGGAGCTGAGTCCTGGCGCCGTACCTGTTCGAGGCAGGAAAGTGAGCGCGCTGGGGCCCTCGCTGCTGGGACTGCCCCCATTTGTTCATGAAGGCATGTTGATGGTGCGCTACAGATGCTCCCCAGGCGTCTTCCAGCTAGAGGATTTCCCCCCATTTTGCAGATGAGGAAACTGAGGCACAGCCAGGCCCTTCCCCTGACCCCCCGCCCCCCCCCGTGCCCTTTTGTCTTTGGAGGAGAGTAAGAGGATTAGAGTGAAGGTCAAGTCCTGCTTCCTGCTTCCCCGGCTCCATCCGGCGCCGGCTTGGTCCTCGGGATCTGTGTGGGCACAGGGTCCTCACGTGTCCATCGGGATCCAGGGCTGTCCACTGAGCTCAAACCTGCTTCCCACCAGAGTGTGCTGGTTACCTCACCTGTCCTGGGCTACACTCAGGCCACCCCTTGCCCACGCACACCACCCCCCACCCTGGCTTCCCGCTGCTGGGGTGCTCCTTCTGTATTAGGTTCTCTCCAAAGTGTGCAACTTCCCAACAGCCCCCCAAGTGAGGTGGGTTGCAGAAGCCGAGAGGAAGCTGAGGCCAGGGAGGTTAAGTCACTCGCTCAAAGTCACACACAGCCCTTGGTGGCCAAGCAGGCTCTAAACCCAGGCCTTTTGGCTTCATAGCTTCATGGCTTCCAAGAGCCCTGTCCTGCTCACAGCCATGTCCCAGCTGCCTGGCATCCAGTAGGTAGTCAATCAATGTTTGTGGATTGACTAATGGATTCCTCTCAGAACTCACAACTCCCCATTCCTTTGCTTGGGATGCCCAACCCCATCTTGCAAACTCCTATTCATACTTCAGAGCCCCATTCATAAAGCCCTCTCCTTAGGAAGAGTCTGAATCCCCCTCTGGGTTGCTCTAGTCCTTGCCCCTTCCACCAGCTCCTCACAGAGCTCAGATGTCCATGGAGCTTGGGGTGTCCATGTCTGGCTTTTTCTCCCCCCTGGTGCCACCTTGCACAGGCTGGGTGGGGGTAGGGTGGGGACGATGGGGAACATTAAGGATATTACATCTTCCCCACCCATCCATCTTCCCTTCCTCTCCTCTCTGGCGCCGTGAATTTCCTGGAGCAAGGAAAGGCTTATTTATTTTATTAGAAAATAAAGTTTATTCAAAGAACATTAAAAGTCCAAGGACCTGCATGGGAATTGGCTTGAGCAAAAGGGAATCTCCGGCTCAGCCAGGCTGGGTGTGGGGCTCCTCTCCACGGAGCGGGGCCCCGAGGGAGGCCAGGGTGGGATCCCAGGGTCCGGCAGGAAGGCAGGGATCAGTCAGCGAGCACCAGGACACAGTGCAGAGCTGGGGGCCTCTGCAGGCTCAGCAGCTCACCAGGTACATCCCTGTGGGGGTGGCGCCGTGAACGGGGAGGAAGGGAGGGCTGTCCCTTGCCCGACCCTGGGATCTCCCAATCCGCCCCCAAACACCCCTGTAACTCACTGTTCCCACTGCCCCACGGGTCCCAACAGCCCCTTGCGGCAGCAGGAGAATGGGGTGGGGGCAGTGTGGCCGTGCGGCTTCTGGCTCCCTGCCTTGGGTCCTCGCAAGGATGCCCTACAGGGGCCCTTCGACCTCCCGCTGCGGCCCTGACTGACCCTCCCCACTTGCGCCCACCATCCTGGGCCTCCAGGGTCCAACCCCCACCAACCTTTCCAAACACACCCCAGATGCCCCTGCCCCCCCACCCCCCCACCCCGGCACCCCGGCAGAAGCAGGGGGTGGGGCTCAGGGCCTGGCATGGTCCTGGCCTCAGGGGTGGGCAGCGGCAGGGTCCGGGGGGGGGGGGGGGAAGTACCTGTGGCAAACCTCCTTTTTATAAGCGACATGCGGTAGCCACTGCCCACCAACTCCAGGTCCACGCCCGACAGAGTGGTCCCCTCACTGGTGAACTGAGCAGCCACAGGGCTGGGTGTGCTGGAGCCTGAGCATGGCTCCCAGCTGGCAGATAGGTGGCCAGAGCCTGGGGAGGCCTGCGGTCAGCCGTGCCCCAGCCTCGGCCCCCATCCTGTTGGGACCTGGGCTCTTCCCACGCCCTTAGATCTGTGACCTCTATCTGTCTCTTCTGACCTCCTCTTGTGCCCCTGCACCCTCTTCCTTTGGCCCCTCAGGGCTATGTGTAAATTGCAAAGGAGTCCTGCCTCAGGGCCTTTGTACTTGCTATGGCTGCCCCCCCCCCCCCCCCCCCCGCCCCCAGGTCCTCTCCCACAGCTTTGTCAAAGCCCTTTGAAGCTTTCCTCCCTGCCTACACTTCTCCCCAGCACATCCCCAATTCTCCCCCATTTTAAACAAGCCCCTCCCACCCGAACCCCCTGCGATCTCATGCACAACCCTAACTCACCCCCTGCTTCAGACACATCTGGCAGCTTCCAAAGGAGGCGCTTCTCCTCCAGATTCCTGATATCAAGAAAAGCTTGGTCAGGTCTCTCCCAGAGAGGACACTGGGAGCCGAGGGTCCCAGCTCGGTCACCTCTCAGCTCCATGACCCCAGCAAGCCAGGTGCTCCCCCATGCCTCAGTTTCCCCATCTGTAAAACGGACGTGGGGTATGGAGCAGCTGGCCCCTGAGCACCCCACAGCCTTTGCAGCATTTTTAGTCCTTCAAGTCTGGCTTCTTCATGGCAGGTTCTACCTTTTGTACAAAACAAAGGCAACATTGTGAGGTGACTAAGAGCCCAGGGCAGAGAGTGGGCAGCTGGGTTCAAATCCTGGTGTGACGGCCGATAAGTGACTTAGCCTCGCTCTGCCTCCGTCCGCCCTCCACAAAGGGGAATGATGGCGGTCCACACCTCAAGGGATTGCTAGAAGCCCTGAGCCAGTCCGTGTGTATAGAGCACGTGGACCACGCCCGACACACAGGAAGCTCTTGGTGTCCGATATTATTGTTGCTAATAACGTCACCCTTAGCTCTAAGCAAGGGATGCTCATGCTGAATGGTCGGACCTATGGTGGACCCTTTAGCTGCTGCATCAAGGAGAGGTCTGGGAGGGCTCTAGGGTCACCGCCGAGCCTCCTTTGGCCTCCCGCACGCCCTCACCAGGTGGCGGCGGGCTGTGGGCGGATGTTGGTCACAGGCTCCCCCACAGGCAGTAGGATCTGGACGTCGGTGAGTGGTGTGGGCACAGCCGTGGCGCCGGGCCGGTAGCTGTATTCCACCGAGACCTGAGTGAGGGTCGCCCCGCACCGCCAGTGGGCGCTCAGCTGTAGGGGCACAGACTGGGGACCCGGGCGGGAGAACTAGGAGGAGCGAGAACAGGAGAGGGGACACAGCTTAGGCCACCCTTCCTGCCACACCACACACTATTCAACACCCCCCCGCCCCCGTCCCAGACCCTGCCCCGCAGTCTCTCAGACCCGACTCAGCACTGCCTATAACCGCCCCACAGAGCCTCTTCCTTCTTCCTCAGAGATCGTTTCGATCAGTCTGTGTGACACCACCGTTTCCAGCAGAGGGCAAGAGAGTGCCTCATTCTGACAGAGTTGCGGCCAGGGCGCCGGCACAGGCTCCTGGGATGGGGCCTCTCCTAATTTACACAATGGTGCCACCTGCCCCCCAACTGCCTACCCCCCTACCCAGCTCACTCTGCTCTCTTTATCCCTGGCCTTCACATCCGTGGCCTGCTCACCCTGCCCAGCCCCAAGCCCTTCCCCGCACCCTCTGCCCTGTGCCCCCCCCCCTCCCCCGGGCCCACCTGGTACCGCAGCAGCACTAGATTGTAGTAGGAGGCGGCCGGATTCTGCTCTGCCTGGCGCTGCAGGGCCTCGGTCAGAGCCGCCATGTTGAGCCAGAAGTCTTTGGTCTCAGGGTCGCTCTGGGAGGGGTCACTACAGAGACCGGGAATAATCACCCCAAACCTTGGGAGACACCTTCCCAAGGCCCTCAGCGCCCAACCTACCCCAAGGGCTTCCTGCAGAGGCAGATTCCCTGGCTCCCCTCGGGCCCAGTCAAGCATGGGCCCCCGGAGGTGGGGGGGGGGGTGTGGGGGGACACGGAGAAGAAAAGAACAATGGGGAACAATGAGGTCCGGAAGGGAGAGTGATTTGCCCAGGGCCGCAGAGCAAATTCCAGGAGGCAGAGCCCGAGTTCCCAGGCGGGGAGCTCCTGGACCCCACCAGCCTCTGGGACCCCCTGCCTCTGATCCCCCACTCGGCCTCCAGTACCTGAAGAGCAGGTCGGCATTGGGCTGGAAGTGCTCAATGGCGGACGTGTGCACGAGGCGGAAGCTGAGGACAGGTGGGGGCGGGGTCCCACTGAACACACGCACGATGCCAGCCGGGAAGGTCATGGTCAGCTCCCCAGTTACTCGAGCCAGGCAGCTGGGGTGAGGGCGGTGAGGAGACTGGGTGTTGGCTCGGGGCTCTCCCGGCCCCACTGCAGCTTGCGGCTCCCCAAGTTCCTCAGAAGAAGCGAGGCCCTGACTGTGCCCAGCGTCCTCACTCCCAACGTCAGCTCCCTGTGTCCTTGCCTGGACAGCAATCCAGGCCCCAGGAAGAAACCACACTGGGCTGAGGGAGGCAGGAACGTCCCCCTCCCTAGCTCTCTTTACCCCTAGGCCACCAGGAAGCTCAAAGCAAGACATTCAGTTATGGAACTGTCCTCACCTTGGGTTTCGGGCCTAATAGTCTCCCATTTGTGGTTTGATCTTAAGGTCTTCCCTGCTGGGCACTGCCCCCAGATTATTCCTGGCCCCTCAACTCCTCCTTCACCCAGTCTTCCAAGGGCCTGGCGTCTGGTCCCGCTCCCTTCGGTGTGAGGCCCAGAGCAGCCTCAGAAGAGCTGCTAACCTGTGGCCACAATGAGGCCTCCCCCTTGCTCTAACACCCTCCGTGGTTCCCACTGCCCTCAGGACAGGGGCCTGGTTGCTTGGCTCAGAGATCGAGGCCCTTCCACAGTAAAGCAGATCAAGGAACACACCTGAAGGCTGTTTCTCCTGACACCTAGACCCAGAGGCCCCAAGAGAGTCCTGTTTGTCCCTGACCTCGTTGGCACTTTCCCCCCATCACTGCGTACCTGGGGCTGTGGCCTCGAAAGTAGGCGTGGACATATTCGGTGAAGGCGGTAGCTACAGGCAGGGCATCCTGGGAGCCCAGGACCACAGGGCTGGGTCCCCGGGAGACTCCTGGGGGGGGGGGGGGGGGGAATGGGGACAGACCGAGTGGGCACAGGTCCCAGACTCCAGAACCCACTTTCTGCCAACGCCTCACTCAGCCACCCAACCCGGGGCCAGAGAGGGTGAGCGCGAGGCCCAGAGAGGGGCCCGGGGCCTCCCCACACCATACCATGTGCCGTCTGTGATGGGAAGCCGGGCCGGTCCGAAAGGGTGCTGGCGGTGGAGGAGCCCAGCGGGGAGGGACTCAGAGACCGGGACTGTGGAGGGAGACAGGCCAGGCTATGACGGCCCAGGAGCAGCACCCTGACGCTGCCCGCCCCCCAGCAGAGGCGCCCCCCAGCCCCACTCCTGCCGCGCCCCGTCACCCTACCAGGTCGCCGTTGCTGCGCGCGAGGGGGCAGGACACCTTCCTGGTGCGGGCTCTCCGGGGGGGCGCTGCCAGGCCGTCTCTGGCTGCAGGGTCAGCAGGCCCGGGCATCGGGTCTGGGGAGGGAGTGAGACAGCTGCACAGCCGGGATGCTGCCACGGGCCTCTCAGCCCCCCCCCCCCGCCCAGAGAAGGAACTTCCCCCCAAAACTGGGAGTCGGGCTTATTTGGGGGAGACCCCCTGGGTCTGAAGTCTTGGGGCTGCAGAGAAAGTGCCGGACAGGACTGCAGAGGCTATCCACAGCCCTGAGCCTCCCAGACACTGGACTGATGGCCCAGTAAGGGGTTACTGGGGATACGTGAGCAAGGGCTGGATGTTCCGGATGCTCGGGAGGCAGGCATGGCTCCAGGGGTGAGGGGTGGGGGGACTGGCAGAGGATTTTTATCCAACATCAGTGATTCTGTGACCTGCATCCTCTCCGAGTATGAGTATGATGTAGCCTCCGACTCTGGCCTGCGTCTGAGTCTCACCCGCGAAGGTCACTAATCACTGCCTAACACTCAGGTGCCCTGTCTGCTCCATCTACAGCTGCCTGCTCACCCCCCGCCTACACCCCAGGTGTGCTCCCCTCTACCCCAGGGCTTCTCAACAGCACTGCTGACAGCGGGGGCCCGAGCAATCTCTGGGGGGGGCGTCGTCCTGTGCACTGTGGGGTGCTGACCAGCATCCCTGGCCTCCACCAGCCAGGTGTCTGTAGCACCCATCCCTCTAGTGGTGACAAGCTAAGATCAGCGGTGACATTGCCAAGTGTCCCCTAGGGGGCAGAACCGGCCTGGTGGAGAACCCCAGTTCTATAGGGAAGCTCAGACAACCCCACCTGACTAGTCTCCACACATGCTCGACACTCACATCCCTGGCAACTCCCTTGATCCAGCTCCAAACAGGCTCTTTCTCTAATCAAGGATGGTGCCAAGCCCCCCTGTCGCCACTGCTGCGGACCTCATGGCGTCACAGCCCTCTGATTCAGGCCCCCTCCCCCACCGGCCTCTTCCTCCCAACCTGCAGCCCTGTCCCAGCTCACCCTGGGCCCTCCCCTCTCCCAGGCGGCCTCACCTCCTGCTTCACGCAGCTGCCCATGGGGTGCTCCAATCTGGCCTCCCCCGCACACTCAGGGTCCACTGGCCACCTGACATCTAAAGGCCCAGTCTCCACATGCCCCCACTCCAGCTACTTCCGTCCCATATTCCCTGCCCCTTCTGGCCCTCCCTGGAAGAATGCCCAGCTGCCCTCCTGCGCTCCACCCCGACCCCTCTGCTCTCTCCCAATGTGTCTGCGTGCCCGCTTCTCCCCACTGTTACCCCATCACCCCTTCCCCAGACTCACTCACCTCACCTCCCTGGTCTCCAGCTCCCACCCCCAGGTGGACAGAGGGCGCCCATAATCTGAGTCACGTGCCGCCCTTCCTTTGCCCACAGCCCTCCCCCCAACCGTGGCTCAGGCCTTGCTAGGGTAAAACTCACATCATTCCCAGAGACTACCAGGCCCTGCTCGGACCCATCTCCCTCCTCTCCCTCCTTTTCCTTGTCATCACTCTGTTTCAGCTTCACCCGCCTCCCAGCGGTTCCTCAGAGGGCCTTGTCAGCTACCACCCCAGGGCCTTTGTACAGGATGTGCTCTAGGCTGGAAAGACCCTGCCCCCCATGTCCAAACGGCTCTTTCCTCACCTCCATCAACTCTTAGCTCAGAGGTCACCTCCTCAGGGAGGTTCCAACCTTCTGAACCCTCACCAGGCACCTGACACCTCCACCTTGTTAAATATCCATTTCATTATTGTCCCTGCAAGGGTGAGGGTTCTGGGCTGTGTCCCCAGCACCCCACTCAGGCCCTGGCCACAGTAGGTGCTCAGTCTTCCCCACCCAGGGCTCTGATAACTCTGACTCCTGGACTCACCTCCTCCAGCCACAGCCTCCAGCCCCCAGGGACCCGGGGATGGGGCGAGGGGCTGTGGCGAGTCCGACGCTGGCAGGGGCCGTGTCCCCCTCGACTCGGAGGCCGGCGCCCTATAGCTAGGTGGGCTCTGTGGGGTGCCCGGGCGGGGGACCCAGGAATCCGGGGAGGGGCCAGGCGCCACGTGGGATGGCGAGTCCAGGCCGGAGTCCTCCACATTCTCGGGCGACGAGGAGGAGAAAGGTGAGGGGCTGGAGGTGAAGCCGAGGCTGCTGGAGCCTGGAGGGGGGGCGGGGTGTGTGTGTGTGTGTGTGCCAGCTTCAGACCCCGCCCACATGGAGGCCCCATCCTTCCTCCTGCGGGCCACGCCCACTCAAAGCCTCGCCCACCCATCAGGCCACGCCCTCTGGTCGCTTCCATCTCCGCGGAAGCTCCGCCCACCCACCCACTGTCACCTACTCTACTACAGGGGCCTCGCCCACTCACGCTGCGGCCCCGCCCACCACCCCATTGACCAGTGACCCACACAGGACCCCCAAATGCTCCCTCCAGCCTGGCCCACCCTCCCACCTACCCTTGCAATGGCCCCACCCAGCCTCCTGCTAGCCAAGCCTGTGTCCCTGAAGCCCCCTACCGCCATCACCTGTAAAGTCTTCGTGGTCAAAGGCCGACTCTAGGGGCGGCCCGAAGAGGGTCTTGGAGAACTGCTCATCTGACTGCAGCTTCTCTGCACAGCTGTGGACGAAGTGTACAGGAGGGATGGCTTCTATCGTTCCTATGCCTCCTCCCTCCTCAGGGCCTTTGCACAGGCTGGTCTTGGTCCTGAGCTCTCATTTTCCCCGGCTCTCCCTGAGGCCACATCCTGCTCTCTTCAAGTCTCAACTCAAAGTCCCCCACCCCCACCCCAGAGCAGCCTCCACCTTCTCAACTGAAGCTGCCCACTGGCATCTTCCCCCACATTGCCTGCTTTGTTTCTTCATGGCACCTGGAAGTATGGAACATGCTCTAACTTATTTGCTGTTCCTAAAATCTGAACCACTAGAATGCAAATCTGAGAAGGAAGACCTGTCTTGGTCATCTGTCTCTGAACTCAGAATAGCACGAGTACACAGCAGGTGCTCAGTAAATGTTCATCGAATGAATGACTAAGTGATTCCTCAAAAACAGCATGCCCTCAGCTCCCTGCCAGGCTGAGAGAAGGGGGGATGGAAAGAGGAGTTGGGGGCGGCCCCCAGCCCCCACTCAATGTTGGCCGGATGTCCCACCGCGGTAGGACCTACCTGCTGGCTCTTGGGGCAGATCGAGGCCTCTGTGGTTTCCCAGCAGCGTCCCCTACAAGAGATGCACCTCCCTGAGCCTTCCTGTCACCCTGCCTACCATTCCCCTCCCCCCCCCCCCCCCCCCCCCACAGAGCAAGAGACTAAGGCTTAGGGCGATCCAGCCAGTTGCCCAAGGTGACCAGCAAGTCGGGCAGAGAGGGATTTGAGCCTGAGGCAACCTGTCTCCAGGTTTTGGCTTCTTTCCCGGCTCGGCTCCTTCCTTCAGCTCTCATTTAATTCTCCTAATACCCCATTTTATAGAAGAGACTGAGGGTCAGAGTGGATAAGCAGCCTGTCGCAAGTCACACAGCAGAGCTGGGATTCAAACCCACACTCACACTCCAGGCCCAGCCTCCCCTCCACGTGCTCCTCCCCAAACTGAAGACCCCTTAACAGGCTGCTCACGTGCAGAATGGCGTTTCATGGTGCCCTGTGGACAAAGTGGGTGGCATCAGGCCGGGTGCGTCCCACCAGCCCCCCCCCCGCTCCCCCCCAGAATACCCCTCCTACGCCTCACCCCTGGGGCAGGAGGAAGGATGAGGCTGCCAGCTGTGGCCCTGAGTTGGGCAGCAGCCACCTCGGGGCTGCAGGCGGGGGCCCGGGCAGGGGCAGGCTTGATATGCACATAGAACTTGCGGGGCTCCTCATCATCGAAGTCCGAGTCACTGGAGGAAAAGCGGGAGGGCTCCGCCGTGCGTGCGTCACAGTCAAGGGGCCAAGCGGATCCCAGCATGGGGGTCTCCCTCGGCTCAGCCCTCAAATCCGCCCCTTCCCGCTCACACCTTTCAAGGCCCTACACGAGCCCATCTCTCCCCACTTGCCATCCTGGCCTTGCCACTCTTTTTGCTCCAAGTCTTTGCATGAGCATGCCCAGCCCTCACGAGCAAACTCTCATTCAGATGCAAAACCCCAACGGCTGGTGTGCCCTCCTCCAGGAAGCCCTCCGGGCTCCTCCTCGCTCCCTCTTGCTCGGCCCTGACACCACAGGGCAGGTGTCTTTATTTGAATCTGCTCTGTCTACACCGCAAGCTCCCCGCAGGATGGACACAGAGAGGGTCGCTATTAGTGGAGGGATCACTGGGGGCAAAGCTTTGTCCTTGCTGTGCCAACAGTTGCCCCCAGGGGGCACCAGGAGGATATTGTTCTGGGTTGCATCAGGCCGGACAGTGAAACCTTCTTCATCCACCTCTGGACACGTCTAGGGGGACAAGCAGTGAGTCAGGCTCCCCGCTACTGAACCTCCCCCTCTCCCCCTGCCACGCCCCCTCCCACCTCTGGGCCCTGACTCAGACCTAAAAACAGCCCCCAACGGCAATAATAGTATTGCCTGTCTTGAGGTGGTAAGACTGACGGGCAAACTGAGGCTAAGTAGGGACATCAGTCCCTCCCACGTGGCCCACAGGAATTTGCAGCTGAGATGAGACTGAGCCCCTTGAGCTCCAGGCTTGGCTTCCAGGCTTAGGGGCCGAGGTGGGATTGAACCCCTCCCACTTGCAGCCCGGCCCAGCCCCTCCCGTGGTACTCACCCCTGAATCGGGCTCCAGGGAATCTCTGGGGGTGGAGAAAGAGATGCTCATGTCTGCTCTCCCACCTCATCTGCACGCCCCCAACCCCCAACACTGGACATGGCACCTGGGGGCGGCCCCTGGGCTGCGATGTTGTCCTGAGCTAGTCCCCTGGGTGATGGGGCCCAGGGATTTGCCTGGGGCTGGGGGCCGCGAGTCTGGACTTAGCTGAGCTCAGGGTGTTCTCAAACAGCATGGCAGGGGAGGAAGGAGCCCTGGAGCTAGTCTGAAGGGCTGGCTTGAAAAGGTAGGGAATGTAGGGGCTAGCCTCGGCAGGGAAATGATAGGGCTAGCCTTGGCAAAGGAAGAATTTTGGGCTAGGTTGGGCAGTGGGAATACTGAGCTAGCCTGGGAGAGAGGTTCTCCCGGGCTAGCCTGGAAGAGGAATTCTCAGCAGGGAACTTCTGGGAGAGGACAGCCTGGGAAAGGGGGAAGGATCCCGGGCTAGCCTAGGCCAGGCCTGGGCAGGGGGTGCGTCCTCACACAGCTGCAGGTGGCTCCCGCTCCCGCCGGCTCAGTCCCGGGAGGCGAAAGGCCTTGGCTCCCCGCAAACGTTTCATTGCTGAGAACAGATGAGGGGGGGTGCAGCTGAGCCCTGGGGGTGCCCCCTTCCCCTTCAGATCTGCCTTGCTCATCCCCACCGTCCAGCCTGGGCATCCAGGCCCAGACGTACTTGCCTTCCTGCAGGGCAGCCGCACTGTACGCCTCAAAGTCCAAAGGCCCTGAGAGAGAAGAGAGTGAGAAACTCAGCCTGGCTGGGAGACCGGGCCTGGGAAGGAGAGCAGTACGCCCTTGGACTCACAATGGCACCTGGGTCTGAGTTCAAGGCCAGTGAGGGTCCAGTGCACAAGCCGAGATGCTAAACAAGCCCCAGAGATGGTCATGAGGGGGATGGGCCAGGGGTTCTTGTCCCCTCTTGGGATGGACCGGAGGGGGTGATGCCTGAGTTACTTTTTTTACTTCCAGCATTTCTCACAGGTACTTGAGTGGGTCAGGGGTTGGACCATGAGTCTGTGCGGGAGGCTGAACCTCAAGTACCAAGATGACGAGCGGGGACTCTCTTCAAAGGTGATGGGGAACCATGGAGGGTATATGAGCAGGAGCAGGGTATGACAGATCTGTGGCCAGTTTAGAGCAAGAGTGGGGCCATACACCAGAAGATATGGCCTGAGCCAGGGCTGAGTTATAGAGACAGGAGGGATTAAGGACAGTTGTTAGTGGTTGACTTGGGGACATAAACTGTATACCAGCATTTATTGAATGCCTACTGTATGCTAGGCACACACTTTGCCCTTTACCTGCATCAAATTACTGAACATTCATAACTTCATCAGGTGGGGATTATCATCATCCCCACTTTATAGATGAAGAAATTGAGACTCACAGAAGTCAAGACAAACGTCCAAGGTCACATAGCAAGCAATGAAGAAAAGACCCAGACTCAGATCTGACCCCAAAAGTTTGGTTCTCAACCCTTCCCCGACCCCTCATCTGGACATTTTTTTCAAATTGGTCCTTTGCTCAACAATCCTCAATGGCTCCCTTAGGCCCTCAGGGTAAAGTATGAAGAGTTGGGTCTGGCCTTCAAGGCCTCTCTAGTATCTGGTTGTAAGAGATTTACATATAAGATGGGGCACCAGGGGACCCCAGGCTGGCTGAGTTGGAAGAGAACATGACTCTTGATCTTGGGGTCATGAGTTGGAGTCCCACATTGGGTGTAGAGATTACTTAAATATACTTAAAACAAAAAAACAAAAAACAAAAACGGTGGGACAGCAAATCCCTTTCCCGTGTGGGCTGCGGAATTAGATTTGTCATCAGCCCATTTTTCTCATGAGGACACCAAGGTGCAGGGAGGTTCAGTGCCCTGCCTCTTGAGTATCGTCCTTTTTTTTCTTCTTCTAAGATTTAATTTATTTATTTGACACAGAGAGAGAGAGAGGGAAAACAAGCAGGGGGAGCAGCATAGGGAGAGGAAGAAGCAGGCTCCCCACCGAGCAGGGAGACCACCACGGGGCTCGATCCCAGGACCCCCAGCATCATGACCTGAGCCGAAGGCAGACACTTAACCGACTGAGCCACCCAGGCGCCCTGAGTCTTGTTCTTTCTCCGCAGCTGCGGCCCCTGAGTCTGACCCCCACAGATGTCCCAACTCACCAGGCTTCTCCCGGCCTGTGCCCTTGCTCTCTGCAAACTTTCTCAGGAGCATCTCCACGCTGACGTTCTCTATGTTCTGCTTAAACTCCTCATGTACCTGGGCCAGGTGAATGAAGTGTGTAAGTGGGCACAGCCAGGGCCCCTTGCCTGGAACCCTTTGCTTTGCTTCCCACCCCTGGCGCCACTCACCTGCCCAATCTGCACATGGGTGTCTTCCACCGAGTGGGCATAGGAGCCTAGCAGTGCCTTCATGTGCCGCAGGTGGCTCTCCTCCATGGCTTGGAAGCGCTGAGCCGGGAAGCGAGAGGAAAATGGGAAGGGGGGGTCACAAGGAGTGGCCAGGTGATCCAGCCTGACCAATCAGAGTATTCTAGCCCCCTGGCCTCAGTGACTGGTGTGGGGAAGACCCAAGGAGCGTCTTCCCTGGGACTTTTGCTAAAACTATGGGAAATGAGACACTTTTATACCCTGAGTCAATGAACTGGTGGGATTCATATGGGGCTCCTGGTGACCAAATCTGCTGGACACACACACACACACACCCAGGAGGGCATCTCTACTTGAGAGTGAAGCCCCCAGGGAGAAAAACAGACTCAAAAAGCAGAGAGGCACAACTTCCTGCCAACATTTGAGTACCTGGATCCAGCCATGCCTGAAGCTCTCCCCTCAAACTTTTCAGTTTCCTGAGCCTATAAATCAATCTTCCTTGTCAATTTGAATGAAGGTTTCTTTTTTTTTTTTTTTAAAGATTTTATTTATTTGAGAGAGAGAGAGACAGCTAGAGAGGGAACACAAGCAGAGGGAGTGGGAGAGGGAGAAGCAGGCCCCCCACCGAGCGGGGAGCCCAATGCGGGGCTCGATCCCAGGACCCCGGGATCATGACACAAACCGAAGGCAGACGCTTAACCGACTGAGCCACCCAGGCGCCCCTGAATGAAGGTTTCTATCATTTGCAACTTTATATCACTTGCAAAGTCAGGAAAAAAATCTGATTCCTAATCCTGAGATTCCAATCTGCTTTTTTATACATTTGGGTAGACAGAGTCCCAGAGAAGTACACTGTCTCATAAAGAGGTTACATAGCTGGTGAAGAATGGAGGCTGGAGCAGAACCCAGGTCTTTCAGCCACCATGAGCTGTTAGTAGACTCTTGGCTTCTAAATCCTGCCTTGCCCTGTTCAAAATCCTTGTCAGTAATAATAGAAATAGGGGCGCCTGGGTCACTTGGTCAGTTCAGCAGCAGATTCTTGAGTTCGGCTCAGGTCATGATCTCAGGGTTGTGAGATCGAGCCTTGCGTCAGGCTCTGCACTGAGTGTGGAGTTGGCTTGAGATTCTTTCCCTCCCTCTCCCTTTGCCCCTCCCCGCCTCAAATAAATAAATAAATAAATCTTTAGATAATAATACTGCCTAGAGTGGTTTCTATGCACCTGGCACTAGTCTGAAAACTTCCCATGTAGGGACTCATTTAATCTCCACAAAAACTCTACGAGGCAGGTACTAACTCTGTTCCCATTTTGAGGCACAAAAAGGCTTTGGCTTTTGAAATAATAATGCCAACAACAATCCCAGTAGCTAACTGGCTCTAGAATCCCATGGCTTGTGATTCTAAGGCTCTTGGGAGTCGAGGGTTTCAGAGATTCTGAACTTCTGAGGCCTGTAGATCCTGGGCCAAGGACTGTGTGGGTCTCCAAGGTCCCAATGCCTGGTTCTTACCAGAGCTGAGTCCAGCATCTTCTGCTCAAAGTCAGCGCGGGCTGAGTTGTACTTCTCCACCAAGCGACGCAGGTTCTCTGCCGCCTTCTTTGTCTTCGTCTCTGCCTACGAGGCACAGGGAGGGGATGGGGGCGGGAGGGGACACACGGGGCATTTCTTCCCCCGGGGGCTCATCTTCCAGCAGGTAGACTCCTTGGGGCACCCAGGGTGTGATGACCACGGAAGGTTTGATGGCCAGTGCTCTGGGATATGTTTTCATACTCCCATCAGGCAGTCCTGCTGCCCCTCGGTGCATTGCTTGGACCTGTGAGGGCTCATGGCAGCTGGGGCCTTATGACTGGGGGCCCACCTTGTCCATCTCCTTCTGGCTGGTGCTCTCCCTCCGCAGCCGCTCCTGGTCCATGCAGCGGTTCAGGTAGTTCTCGCGGGACTTGGGCAGGAGCTGGCTGACACCTGCGAGGACCTGCACAGCGTCCAGGGTGCCCACGGCTTCCTCTTTACACTGCAGGGGTGGGGAAGGGGGAGTGTGGGTAGCATGTGAAGCCCCCGCCCGGGTGCAGGACCCGAGCAGATCGCAGGGGCACAACGTGAAATTCCCAGCTTCCCAAACACTCTGTGGGTTTCCTGGTCCCGTGGAGTACCTTTTATGAGTATTCTATTAATTTCAAAAATTTTAACTTTTTAAAGAAGGAATATTTACACAGGGTTCCTATTGTAAGAAGTTTTAAGGGGGAAGCTCAGGAAAAACGCTCCCACTGTCTGATCCCCAGCCTCCCAGGCCTCTGCCTCGGAGTTGATAGGTCTCCAGAAATAATCGGCACATAGACCAGCAAATGTGTTTGTTCTAGCCCATTTTTTTAAATGACAAATAGGCACAATCTCTGTTTAACTCACAGCTTTTTCGGGTTAATAATCTATTCCCAAAATTATTCTGTATCAACCCACAGAAAACTTCCTTGTCCCCCAGTTTTTTAAGTAGGCTTCACATTGGGCACCCCCCCTTGTACCCCAGTTTAAAAAAATCATGGTAGGGCGCCGGGGTGGCTCAGTCAATTAAGCATCTGACTCTTAATTTTGGTTCAGGTCATGATCTCAGGGTTGTAAGATCGAGTCCCATGTGGGGCTCTGCACTGGGTGTGAGCCTGCTTAAAATGCTCTCTCACCTTCTGCCCCTCCAAGCCCCTCTCCCTCTCTTCAAAAAACAAAAACAAAAACAAAACAAAATTTTGTTTTGTTTTGTAAAACACACATAACAGAAAATCTACCACCTTAGCCATTTTTTTTTTTAATAGGCTCCACGCCTAGCATGGAGCCCAATGTGGGGCTCGAACTCATGACCCTGAGATCAAGACCTGAGCTGAGATCAAGAGTCAGATGTACAAATGACTGAGCCACCCAGGTTCCCCCCTTGTCCCCCAGTTTAAAAAAAAAACATGGTAAAACACACATAACAGAAAATCTACCATCTTAGCCTTTTTTTTTTTTTAAATAGGCTCCACGCCCAGTGTGGAGCCCAACATGGGGCTCAAATCTTGACCCTGAGATCAAGACCTGAGCTGAGATCAAGAGTCGGATGCATAACTGACTGAGCCACCCAGGCCCCCCTACCATCTTAGCCATTTTTAAGTGTACAGTATTAACTACTAACAACTCCCTTTTTATTTTTATTTTTTTTAAAGATTTTTTTTATTTGAGAGAGAGAAAGAGAACGAGCAGGGGGAGGGGCAGAGAGAGAAGCAGATTCCCCGCTGAGCAGGGAGCCCGATGCGGGACTCGATCCTAGGACCCTGGGATCATGACCTGAGCTGAAGGCAGACGCTTAACCGACTGAGCCACCCAGGCGCCCCCAACTCCCTTTTTAAACAGGAGTGGGTTAGGTCTGGGGCCAATAAAACTTTATTTATTGGCACTGAAATCCAAAGGTCATAATTATCACCTGTCACGAACTCTTCTTTTGATCCCTGCCCCCCCCAATTTAAAAATGTAAAAACTATTCTTAGCTCTCAGGCTCTACAACACCAGTCTGGATTTGGTCCATAGCCCATAGTTTGCAGAGCCCTGGTCCAGAGTTCTGAGTCCGAAACTGGCCAGTGCTCAGGTCTATGGGAGTCTGGGTTTGGTGTTGTGGAACTGACAGAATTCTCAGAGGTACACACCAGGAGCGGGGGGTTCAAAAGCCCCAGAAATTCTGGGATCTTTCCAGCCACTGCCATCCCCCCTCCGCCTGGCTGTGTAGTGCCCACCAGCACACACCTTTTTGTGCATCTTGAGCTGCTCCTCGCCGTAGCGGAGCACGTCCTTGATGAGGTCCTGCAGCTTTCGTGTTAGCTCCAGGTGGCAGAGCGCCAGCTTGTCTGAGGAGACGCGGAAGACCTCCCAGAGCGGGGCGAAGGTCCTAGAAACAGGCCACACTCAGGGTCCAGCAGGCCCAACACCCCCCACCGGGATTCCCTCAGACAGCAGGCACCTACTGTGTGCCGGGCCCTGCTAAGCACCTGCACCACAACTACAAGGCAGGCCTGGGACAGATGGGGAAACGGAGGCACAGGAGGTTCCACAGCTCACCCAAGGCCCCTTAGGAAACGAATATCAGAGCTGGAATTTAAACCCAGGCCCTGAGGCCCTAGAGTCCTCACTCTGGACTCCAGGCCCTAGCTGATACTCAAGGGCACCCAGGCCCTGCAGCCACGCCAGTCTCTTTGCTCTTCCTTGAACATACAGAATCTATGGTTGCCTCTGGCCCTTTGCACTGGCTGAGCTGCCTCCCAGCGTCTCCGACCCAGATACCCCTGTAGCTGGCGCCATCTCATTATTAAGGTCTCAGCTCATGGCAGCCATGCCAGAGGAAGCACCTGACCTCTCACGCTCTTATTTCATCCCCTTCCTAGAGCCTTCCACCCCAGGAAAGGGCTTTTGTTCATGTTTGCAGTTAACATCTGTTTTGCCACACACCCCACAGGTGACATGGCATGACCATGGCATGAAGGTGACTGGGGGCTTTATTTTGTCTTGATTGCTGCTGGGTCTCGAGTACCTAGAATGGTGCCCAGCACACGACAGGTACTCAGTAAATATGCATTGAATGAATGATTGAGGTAGTAAGTGAATGAATGAATTACATTCCTCGGTCCAATTAGCTGCTAAGGGAGGGGAGGGTGACTCCCTAGTCGACATATCACTTGTGTGAAGAGATGTCCACTAAGGGGAGGCTCTTGATACCCCAGGACCCTTCCGCCTTGGGGACCCCCCGCCTCTGCTCCAGCCCACTCACCCCACGGGGGTCCCATTGCTGGCCAGCTTGGAAAGTTTCGCCATCGCCTTTGAGTAGGTCTCCTCGATGGTGGCCCTGAGTAGAACAGAGGAAAGATGCAGAAGGTTCTGGGCATCCTTGGGAGACGCTCCATCCCCCTGGGCCTCAGTTTCCCCATCTCAATATCTGAGCAGTAGCTCTCAAGGAGGATGGTAGAGTCCCCAGGCCGGGAGAGGCATTTTGGAAAATCACGGGCGCAGGTAAGTAATATGTTTTAAAAACGAGAGTGGTAGGAACAGCCATAGTAGCACCGGCTCAAAAACAATTTGAGCACATACTATAAATGCTTTATATGCCTTGTCTTGTTTAATTGCAGGAGGCAAACTCCTATTTCCTTTCTCCCTCTGGACAGACACTGTTAAATGCCTACTTAATATCCACTCATATTTTCGCCCAGATTAACAGAACTTCGATTTTTGTTCGGGGCAGCAATGTGCCCAGTTACAACCGGCTACCCACGGAGGCATTTTGTGATAGAGGCACCCACAGGGCACCACAGGCAATCGCGGATGGACCCAGGAGCTTAAGGCCCTCAAAGTAAAGAATGCCCCTGTCCCGAACAGCTTGGACGGGTCTCGCTGCACAGCCACAGAGAAAAACCTGGTTATAATCTTTTGAACTCCGCTCAGATTTAATGGGCGTTCAGCTAGTGAACGGCTGGGCAGCAGAAGGCTGTCTTGCAATTTGAATTTGTTATGTTTTCTGGGATATGGATGTCAGAGCATTTACATGCCGAAACGTAGGTTACTTCATCATACATGTGTTTTATCATACTCAGTGCATGAGACTGAGTTTTCAAAATTCCCCTTGTAAGTAGGTCATATCATCATCTCTTCAGGAGGAGGCGTCAGAAACCTGGGAATGGGTGACAGGCGGGCATAGGGGCTGTGTTGAGAACCGCTGGTTTCGAGGACTTTCCAGCAGGTTGGGTGTGGCGGGGCCGTAGTGGGATGCGCCGGGGAGAGGTGGGGCGGAGCCAGGGCGGGGCCACGAGGTAGGGGAGGCTGCAGGGACTGCGGGGCGTGGCCAGGGGTGGGCGGGGCGTGGGGGACCTCACCTCTCCCGGATGAAGTCGGCCAGCTCCTTGGTGGAGATGGGCCCTTGCTTCACGCCGTGGTACAGAACCTCGAAGCCGTGGTTCTTCTCACCCTGCAGGGGATGGGGGCGGAGACTGAGTAAAGAGGTGGAGGAGACATGACGGTTGCCTAGCAACGGGGGCGTGGCCAGAGGAGCCAACCAGCAGAAGCCCAACCCCTTGGCAGCAGTGATTGCTTCAGGCCTGAGCCAATCAGCCTGTGGCCTATCCCCTAGGTCACAAGGATTGGTTCATGGGTCTTACGTTGGCCCAATCAGAGAGCAGCCTGGTTGGTTTTGTCCCATGGCTGAGGGGAAGATGTTCTCTTACGCCTGTTGTCTCTCTTTGTGTCTCCGTCTTCCTCTGTTTCTCTGTCTCTCTGCCTCTGTTTCTGTCTCATCAATCTCTTCCCCTGTTTTTCTGTCTGTGCCTTTCCATAATGAGTAATTATGTGGGCACGGGAGATATTGGAAGCCAAGTGGAAACCTTGAGATTTGGAAAGAAGCTGAACCTGACAGAGTCTGAATAAAAAGTGTGTTGAGTCGAGTTACTGGATCAAACCAAGCCTGAAAGCCCCATTTCCCTACAATGTTTCACCTTAGTGAGCCAATATAACCCCCTGTTGCTTAAGTCGCTGTTTTCTGTTCCCTTCAACATGGAAACACCCTCTCTGAGACCCCAGAGTACAGTCTGGGTCTGATGCCTCTCTCAGGACCCAGCAATGTCCAGTACAGGGTGGGGCCAAAAAGGGCATTTGAGTTTGTTGAATAAATGAACAAATGAGTTATTCTGCTGTTACCTGGAGCTGGTAGGAACAGTGCCTCTACTCGGGTGCCTCTTTCCTCCCAGTTCTGGGGTCACCATGGTGGGGGATGCCAGGGCTGTGCTGTGTGATCTGGGCAAGGCACTGTCCCTCTCTGAACTATTAGTGGCTCCTTGTTAAGATGGGACAGGGGAAGTCATCCACCTTGTGTATGAGCATGAAGTAAACACCAAGGTGATCCACATCAGGGTTCCCCAAATCCCCAAAGGGAACCCTAGTTTTTTCTAATTCGTGGTATTAGTTAACATTTTGCATTGAGTTTGCTCGTTTTTTCTCCAAATACGTTCACTTAAAGAGGCAAATTTTACCATTATTCTAACTGGGAGCCCTGGACCCCATGCCATAATGAAAGGAATAGGAAAAAATAAGGCAATAACTGTTTTTATCCCAGCGAGATCCTGTGACATGTGAAGGGCATCATGTCCAAACACTGAGCTGTTCATCAAAAAGGGAAATCAGCTGGGGTCTGAGGAACTGGAGACATTTTAGCACCAAACTGGGCCTTGTGAGTAGGGCCGAAAGAAGAAGATTGTGGAGCGATCTGGCATTATTTAACTCCCAACACAAATCACTGAAGTGATCCCTCTGGAAGCAGGTCCTGCGTTAACAGTGGTTTCCTCAATCTCCTCCAACCTGGCGAGTTTACCCTCCCACTTACCTGGAAACCGGAAGGCTGAAGCCAGAAGTCACAACCAGATAACCCCTCTTGCTGCATAAATGGAGAAACTGAGGCCGAGACGGGCAGACCCAACACAGTCTGATGCTCAAATCTCCCAATGGTCGCTCCTCATTCTAGAATTGTTGACAGCTCCCTATTTCCCACCAGCTGCTTAAATGCAAAGCCCTTAGCTCAAAATTGTCTTTCCAACCTTATCCCCCAGCGTCCTCTTGGCCTCGCCAGTAAAATGGTAAGCAGTGCAAAGACAGGCTCTGCCTTCCTACCACCGCACCTTTGCCTAGGCTGTTCCTGCAGCCCAGTCCCGGCTCAGCAGGCTGCATCTCTTTCCACCCATCCAAATCCTTCTACTTCTCAAGGATCATTTCCAGGCCCAACCCCTTCAGGAACCTTCTCAGACCCTCACTTCCCTGAATGTTCAACGTTGCTCCCTCCAGTTTCCCAGGAATATGTGTCAGAGCCTCCTTTTATGCACTGGGTCACTCTGAGCTGGTGACTTCACCTCTCTGGGCCTCAGTCTCCTCATCTGACAAATGGGGACAATGACAGCACCCACCTCCCAAGGGTCTTGGTGAGATGAGGCTGGGACGGTGCTGAACACAGGGCTTCCTGCGCAGTGGTGAGGGCTCAGCAAACAGGCCCAGCAGTCCCTGCCTGCCCCACCCAGGGGATCCTGGGGTAAGGCTGCACCAGGCACTGCCACCCAGGCCAGCATCTGGGGCTGACTTGGAGCCAACCACTGGACCGTTTCCCAGACCTGGCAAGGCCCCCAGTGGTATTTGCCTCTCTCTGGCTGTGCTGGCAGTGAGGGTCCTAGGAGGGACTGTCTTGGGCCTGTGTCTCTTATCAGAACCTCTGGACTCCAGTCTCGCCCCTATGCCAACCCCAGAGGGATCTTTCTAACACAGCTTGATCGTATCCCTCTCCTGCTCATACTTTGCCCATGGCTCCCCGGTGCCCTCGATGCCTCCAGGCTGCCTTGGCCCAGCGGGACTCGGGCATCCCTATCCGGCTTGATCTCCCCTAACTGGAGCCTCCTTCAGGCCAGCCAGGGCACCAGTGCCACCCAGCTAAGAGCCACCGATACAAACAATTGATTAAAAGAAACATTGCCAGTGACAGACATCCCAGGGTACTCCCTGAGACCTAGAGAGGCAGGAATTTCATCCCCTTTCCCAGATGGGAAAACTGAGGCTTGCCGACACAAAATCACTTGCCTGAGGGCTCCCAGCAGAGCCCAAATCAAAGACTGAACTCAAAACCCTTATCCACTCTGTACCAGGCTATCTTTGGGTGGGGAGTGTCTCGGGGGTGGCTTCTATTTTCTCTCTGCTGATCTGAATTTTCTGCAGCAAGCTTGCATGCCTCATGCAATTAAAAAAAATTTAAAATAAATGTAGGTGCCTCATGCCATTAAACGGACTTTTAAAATAAATGTAGGTGCTGTTGTCAGGGTTCCAAAACGTGGGCAATGACTGATCATTGAACAGTTAACCCCCTTACATAGAGGCACCAAAAGGGGCTCAGAGAGGAGCAGCCCCTTGCTGGGGTCACATAGCCATTCAGAGACAAATCCAGGGAATCTGACCCTTGGGCAGAAGGTGGAGGTCAGGCCCCATCCCCCCTCTGCCCTCTCCCCACACCCCCTCCCTGCAGGTGGCAAGGGGGTGAGGCCCCTTTAAGAAAACAAGTGGCAGTAAGAGGAGCCCCAGCTGGGGAGGGAGAAAGGGAGGGAACGGGCCTGTTGCCAGGGGCAACCAGTTGCCTAGCAACAGGCTTCCTCTCAGCAAGCTCAGGGCCCTACTGGGGAAGGGGCTTTCAGCCCTGGTCCTTCCTGGACTCTTCTGTTCATACATCTTCTGTGGCTCCCCATTAGCATGTGCCTGTAAGAGACGTCTTGTGCCCTCAACTGGTCACCCGTGTCACACTTCTGGGCTTTCGCTCAGGCTGTTCCCCCTGCCTGGAATGCCCTTCTTACATCTTAGAAAATCTCAGCCCTCAAAGCCCACAGGGAACATGGCTCCATGTCCTGACCTCTCCTCTGGCTGCCCCCAAGGCTGGGCCCAGCCCGGACCCTGAAGGGCTGAAGATTTCTGGCTGGCTCTATGTCTCCCAGATTGCGAGCTCCTTGGGGTCAGAACCAGGATGAAGCCTCCTGGGGGCCTCAGCCCCTTCCACAGTTGGTTGGGTGTGGAGTGGTGGTGGCAGGGAGGGAGGGAGGGAATGAATGAATGAAAATAAATTTGTCTCAGCCCTCTTGGGTCACAGTATGTGGTCCCCAACCCGGAAGGCAGAAGGGTGAGGGTGCCACTAGGGGCCAAGTCAAGAAACCCCCCAACTCTCCAGGATCGGAAAGATGTGGAAATTCCCTGGCTGAAATGACCCTGGATCCTGGAAGTTCAGTCTGGCCCCGGGTTCGAGCCCCGACGCTGCATTTTCTCACCAGGCAATTTGAGATAAAAGAATCCTACTCTGGGCCTTAGATCTCCCTGTTGTTCAAGCTGTGACTTGCCCACGGTCACAAAGCCCATGAAGTCGGAGGGTGTAGATTCAAAACCCAGCCTGACTCCTCCCACTTTAACTTCTATGAGTCGCAGACCCTCCACCTATCCAAGGCTCTGCCCATAAGCCGCCAAGTCCCCCCATCTCCATAAAAGGCCCCACAGCCCTTCCAGGAGTCCGCATCAAAATAAAAGTGGGTCTTACCCAAAAATGTTCCCCAAAATACGACATCCTGATGCCCTCTGTGGAGACCCCTGCAGGCTCCTGTTTAGTGCCTGTCCAAAGAGAGAAGCAAATCTGAGCTGTAAAGCCACGGCCAGCTTGGGCCTAAGGAGGGGAAATTCCAATTGTCCTCCCCGTGGAGGAGGAAGAGAGAGGCTGGAGGAACCAAAAGTGTGGGAGCATGCCAGGGCCCCCGAGATGATTCATCCCCAGGCCTGGCCCCCAAGTAGCCTCCGTTCTAGGGGGCCAGATCTGGATATAGATGCCCCAAGTCCTGTGGGGTCAGAGCTGGACTGGAGAGAGGGATAGGGACTGGGGAGCCTAGTCTAGAGGAAGGGGCATGGGAGTTGGGGCTTTCAAGCACAAATAAGAGTTCACTGGGGGGGGGGGCAGGGTACTGGATGAGCTCCAGCCTAAGCAGAAAATCTCAGGGCCATTTCACAGATGGGAAAACCGAGGTTCCCCCACCCCCATAGAGGGGAAGCCACTTGCCAAGGTCACAGAGCCAGGAAATGACAGTAGATTTGCACCCTGGGCCAGCTGAATCAAGACCTAAGCACTCAGCTCCACGCTGGGCAGCTCCTGTGGGAAAGGGTCTGCTGAGAGATGGACACTGGGACTGTGATCGGCCACATGGGGGTCGGGGTCCCTGAAGTGTCCCCAAGGATCCCTTGGGGTCTCCCAAATCCCTCTACAACAGTTCCCACCCCATGCACACTCCTGGAATGGAGAGCTCACCCCTCACCACGATGACCCAGTTGGCAGTGGTGTCCCCATGAGTCCCAACCCTGACTCCCAGAAGCCAGTGGTCACCTGGTGTCTCAGTCACTAGCCAGCTCTGTGCCTCAGTTTCCCCATCTGAAAAACAAGAAGGAATGCCTAGAAGGGGTCTTGCTGGGGGAGTCCAGGCCTCCCTGCAGAAGGGGCTGGGCCAAGCCGCCTGGCAAGGGAGGGACACTTGGTGTCCTTGGCACGTTCTCGAGGCTGGTCTTGTCACAGGAGCCCGCAGGCCTCATCCATAATTCATGACCCCTCGGGCAGCTCAGCAGCAGCTGGGAGCCCAAGAGCCACAGGGGCAGCTGGGACAGGGCTTCTGACCACAAATGGGAAAGCTCCTCGGGCCTCACAAGGAAAGGACCAAGCAAGGACCTCGGACAAGGCTGCCTTCATTGAGCCTCAGTTTACCTAATCTTGAAAGTGAATTTAATTTGAACCATTATCCTCTGGCCCCAGGTTCCCTGACTTCTGTAAGTTACCCAGCAGCCACCATGTGCCCATGTAGCAAGGACAATGCCAGGGACTGTGAGATTATTCAGTCCTGAGTCTGGTCCCTGAGGAGCCCCCGGTCTAGGGGTATAGAGCTGGATGCAGACACACCAGTCCTGCAGGCTCAGGGCTGGGCCAAATGGAAGAAGTGACTGTGGGAGCCTTGACAGAAGGAGGCGGCGTGGGAGTTGGGGGGTTGAAGCATGAATAGGAGTTCACCAGGCAAAAAAATTATTCGATTCCACAAATACTCCCCATGACCACCCTGTACTGGGTAATGCCGGCGCCCCTAAGAAAACTGTCACTGGCGCTGTCCCTGAGGAAACCCAGTCTGGAGTGGGGGCGGGGGGCATGCTGGGCTGACATCCCAAGGGGGAAAAGCCCTCAATTCCCATCTCATGTCTTCATTTCTGGCCAGGATTTAGGCCCTGAGAATCTCCAAATCCCTTAGAGCTGTGCTGACTGATAAGGGAACGACTAATCTCATGTGGTGCTTTAATTTTAAACTAAGTAAAATTAAATACCATTAACCCCCAGCTCCTCAGTTGGGCCAACCTTGCCCCAGGGCTCAGTAGCCACAGGGGGCTGGTGGCCGCCATATTGGACAGCACAGGTAGAGAAAGTTCTGCTATAAGATGCTTCTTAGAGGATCTGAGGAGCCACTGGGCCCAAGTTCCCCAGAAACCGAGGATCTCACTACTGTTTTCACAACAATGGTTAGATGGCCCCTCCCCCCACAATATACCGAAGGCCAGTATGTGTGTCTCGCTGTACCCAACCCCCCAGCGGGTACCGGCTCATTCAACCTTCACAGCCACACGATGGGGCCCAGTCCCACCTTTACAGATGAGGAAACTGAGGCACAGAGCAGTAACTCACTGTCCCGGGGTCACTGTGATTTTGTCCCTGGCATGGTCTGCCAAAGAACTCCTGTTTGGAACCACCACATGTGGTTCTGGGTCTCCAGGTCCCCTCTACTGCCCCACCACTCCGAACCGTAATGGAGCGCAGGGGGGCAGAGCGAGGGTCCCCCCCCACCCCCCGCAGGTTCCTGCCCGGCCCAGGAAATGACACCTGCTTCTTCTCTCGGAAACCCTAGGCCAGGCGGGGGGGGGGGGGGGCCCTTCTGTTCCTGAGAGGGGTGAGGAAGGGCAACGGGGGCCTCCAGACAGGGTTCGAACTCACCGGATAGGGCAGCGAGTGGGGCTGGGGCCCCTGACAGACACGGTGGGCACCAGGAGATGGCCACGCGGCTCCTGCCGCTTCCGTCAGCACCAACCAAGCAGAGGCCTGTGTGCGAGGGGGACAGGAAGCTCACCCTGCCCCGCCTACCGCCCAACTGCCACCTCACCTCCCCCACCAGGCCAGCACCCCTGGGACTTCCCTGGAACAGGGCCGGCCATGGATGGGTAAACTGAGGCACCTGAACCTGGGGCTCCCAGCCTGGGGCTGTTATTACCCAGCAAATAATAATCATGACCACAATGGTGAAATAATAGCAGGCCCCACATTGCATCTGTCCCAGGCTAAGCTCTTCCACATCTCACCACCCCGGGGTGGGCTAATGATTCCTGCTTCACAGAGGGGGAACCAAGGCTCAGAGAGGAGAGCGTACAGGCTCATGTCTGTACAGCCGAGACTCAAACCCAGGGCCGCATGAAAACTTTCATGGGCCCCTTCCTTTAATTTAAAAAAAAAAGAAGAAGAATTTAAACTATATGTTACAAATTGCATTGGCACAGAGATGACTATATTAATATTATGTATTAAAATGTATTCCTTGACCCCCAAAGCTCATCTTTTTCCCTTCTGATTTTGAAAGAAGTTAAAACCTCTTCATGGGCCTCCGAAAGTATTGTGTCCAAGACACAGAAGTCTCTGTATCTGATGGAGAAAATGGCTTTGCTCGAACCCAGGGCTCTTGCTCGAACCTCCAGAGCACCAGGGCAGAGCACAAAGACGGACAGGGACTTGCCCAAGGTCACACAGCAGGCTGTCAGCTGACCAGGATGCCCGCCATCCTCTGGCTGCCCAAAGCAGAGAAGAGTCCTCCAGGGGGTGCCTGACACCAGCCCCAGGCGCCGCTGCGTGGAGATCCTGCTTCCCCGGCACCAAATCCCAAAAACCTACAGCTCTGCACTGGGTGGAGCGTGTGAGCAGGCCCAGGAGCTAACAGAACAGGACAGGCTGGAGTCAGCAAAGAAGGCAGCGCTCACTGGCTCTAAGCCACCTGTCCAGAACCCCTGACCTCGTGCTGTGACCTTGGGCCCACCCTGACCTCGGTGCCTCCAGGGTCCCAGGGAACAGTCCCTGACATTGTGCTCCCCCCAGACTCCAGTTTGTGCACAGTGCGGCCAGTTTGAGATTTTTCTCCTTCCCAGTGACTAGCCAGCCTCTTGGCCGTGCTGTTTCAATGACCTGTCCTGTCATGAGCCTCCTGCCTTCTAGGCCCAGCCACCAGTGACCTTTACACAATCTGGCTTGATTCTCACAGTGGCGCTTCAAGGCAGTGTCTCATCTTGGCCATCACCCCAATGGGGAAACTGAGGCACGTGCCCCATGTCACCCAGCGACCAGGCTGTCAAGCTCAGGAATTTTTTGGTCCTCCCCCACTAGTCTCCTCCCTCTTTGTCATCTATTTGGCAAACACTTATTGAGCACCAACTGTGTACCTAACTGCCGGGCTCTAGAGATCCAGCTGGCAAACCTGGCAGACTCCTCTCTCTCCTCCCTGCTCCTGGTCAGCTGTGACCCCATTTATGATCACTAATATTGTAATTAGTATTATAATGACCATGTCTGCATTTACAGGGCTCCCATCTTCCCACGTCTCCTCTGATCTTCTGAGGGGGATCCAGCCCATTCCATAGAAGAATACACCAAGGCCCTGGGGGCAAAGCCACACACGGGGAGAATCAGTTTGAACGTGGGGGTGTTGGACGACTCCCAGCCCCGAGCTCACCCCTGTGCCCACCGCAGTCAGGGGACAGGCTGGCCTGGTGGCTTCTACCTCCTCCTACCCGCGACCCCACCCAGGAACTGGCTCGTCCCTGGCGTGGGTGACAATATATGGGTCAGGGTGTGGTCCCATCGTGTGCCAGGCACTGGCAGTCCCACCAGTAAGACCAGGGTGGTGGAGCCCCCGTTCCAACCATTGCAGCTTGGTAATGTGTTTTACTGTCTGGGAGAATAGCCTTTCCAGCAAGGCCAGAGTGACCACGAATCCATTTTGCAGTGCAGTAAACTGAGGTTCGGAGGCCAGTGAGTCATGTCAGGTGGTCTCCAAACCCACTGCCCTCTCACCCCCAAACCACTGACATCTTAAGCGAAGGTGGGGGAGTTATCGTTTGGCATATGATGGGGTGTGTGGGTTTCAGAATCTGTAGAATTCGGCTTCTGAAGCCCTCATCCCCATTTTCAAAGGACAAAACCAAGGCTCACAGAGGTGCTGTCACCTGCCCAAGGTCACCAGGGAGGCAGGTCCATCAAAGCGGCCTCCTGGTCCCCACTGCGGCTGGGGCAGGCAACTCCCAGATTCGAGGCAGATGGAGGGGCCGCCCACCCCACAGCCCTCCTCCGCACCCCACTCGCAGTCAGCCTCCGGCAAGATCCTAATTTACCTCGATTTATTTTAATCCCCGAGAACAGATGCTGCTGCCCACCCCCCACTGAGGCAGGGACCACCCCCAAGTCCATGCTCCAGGCCCTTTCAGGCCTGGCCTGGCCAGTCCCTGTTAGGCAAGGGGCCCCACACTGGCCCCCTCCCCAGAATTCCCACTTTGGGGGTCCCTGCTGAAGATGCCGGTGAAACGCCCCCCACCTCATCCTTGCGGTAGGAGACTTGGATAGAGCAGTCTACAGGAGGGGCCCGGGGGCCCCCAGCTTCCTCCTCCAGGCCTATCAGGGTTCACAGTGGAGAAAAAGGGAAGGGGGTTCTTCCATCTCGGTCCTCAGGGGTCTGCAGACCAGAGCTGGGAAGAGGGAAATTGAGAGTGGTCTTCACTTCGGTTGTCCTGGGTCCCAGGCTGGAGGGAGAGCGGCACCCCCATCTTTGCAGCTCTGGAACCTACACCCAGATCCAGGCTTAGAATAAAGGGATTTGGGGAGGGGTCTCACGTCATAGCCACCCTCCTGCACGCTCCGGTTCTAGGCCAGAAGACGGGGGACTTGGAGAGGGGTCCCTATCTCCCTCCATAGACCCCCGAGGATGGCCACGGAGAGGCGGGGGGGGGGCCCACCGCGCAGCCCCCGACCCCAGTTAGCCATCCCTCATGCCCGGCCGCGCCTTTGCCCCCAGTGGCCTCCGGGGCTACTGGGCGCAGTGCGCACAAGGCGCTGCGCGGGCCAGGGGATTCGGGGGGTCCCGGGGACAGCACTCACCTCCGGAGCTCTGGCCGAGCCCCGCGCCCGCCGCCACCTGCGGCTCGGTCTCTGACACCCGAGCCCGCCCCGCCCCTACCTCCGCGGCTGCAGCGCGGCAGCCGCCTGGCTCCGCCTCCGGGGCGTGGCGTTGAGAGTCCCCACCCACAAGACGGCACCCGGAGTCAGGGGCGGGCTTGGAGTCCGCGCGGCCCGCCATTGGGCCATTTAGGCGGCCAGCTCCGTCAGTCCCGCGAGCTGATTGGCTGATCCAGAGACGAGCTCCTTTTTTATTACCCCCCTTCCACCACCCGCAATATATTTGCATAAGTTAAAGCAACAGGCTCCTCTCGCGCTACCTGAGACCCAAGGGGTGGGGGCAGGGGTGATCACAGTTTATTGAGGTCCCACCGTGTGCCAGGCACTGAACTGGGCTCATGTGCTGTCCCCCACAAACTTGTGGGCGGGACGTTATTGAATCCCATTTTACAGCTGGAGAAACAGACTCCGCGAAGACAAGAACTTGCCAGGAGGCCACACAGCAAGTCCGCATCCTTTTTTAAAAAAGATTTTTTATTTATTTATTTGACAGAGAGAGAGCACAAGCAGGGGGAGCGGCAGGCAGAGGGAGAGGGAGAAGCAGTCTCCCCACTGAGCAGGGGGAGCCAGATGTGGGGCTCGATGTGGGGCTCGATCCCAGGACCCCGGGATCATGACCTGAGCCGAAGGCAGTCACCTAACCAACTGAGCCACCCAGGCGCCCCGCAAGTCTGCATCCTTGAGGGCAGTCTCGGGATCTGGCCCCGGGACTGGGAAGGACTATCCCCAAGAATGCTGTCTTGTCACAAATCAGACAGTCTTCTGTCTCCCTCACCTGGACCCCCATAAAATGAGATTTACACAATGCTCCTGCCACTCAACCCTCCATTGGAACACTGGGGTGACCTCTCCGGTCCCAGGCCTGCTTCCCTACCGGCGTCCATTGTTCAGTAAGGGCAGCCCGGGAGCACGGGCCAGTGCCCCTGGAGTCCCACAGTCTTCTCTTCCCATCCTCCACGTTGGTTCTCCTGGCGCCGTGTCTCTGTAACTCCCCACTTCATCCATTTTCCTGTATCCCCCCCTCCCCGCCCGTGGCCTGAGGCCAGGCCTGGAGGCTGCCTTGGCTCCCTACTTGGGCCTCTTGTGGCTTCCACCCCTGCCCAGAACAGTCCCTGCTCTCCCATGGCAGCTACACGTTTTTTGTTTTTTGTTTTTAAAGATTTTATTTATTTATTTGAGAGAGAGTACATGAGAGGGGGGAAGGTCAGAGGGAGAAGCAGACTCCCTGCCGAGCAGGGAGCCCGATGCGGGACTCGATCCCGGGACTCCAGGATCATGACCTGAGCCGAAGGCAGTCGCTTAACCAACTGAGCCACCCAGGCGCCCTTGTTTTGTTTTTCTTAATAAACCGTTTGTTTTAGAGCTGTTTTTGATTTACAGAATTATTATGAAGACAGTACAGAGTTCCTGTGTATCCTACACCTAACTTCCCCTATTATAAACACCTTACATTAATATGGTACATTTGTCACAATTAGTGAACCGATACCGGGACATTATTTTATTTATTTTTTAAAGGATTTTTATTTATTTATTTGGCAGAGAGAGAGAGAGAGAGCACAAGCAGGGGGAGCGGCAGGCAGAGGGAGACGGAGAAGCAGGCTCCCCGCTGAGCAAGGACCTGGTTTCGGGACTTGATCCCAGGACCCTGGGATTATGATCTGAGCTGAAGGCAGATGCTTAACCGACTGAGCCACCCAGGCATCCCACATTATTTACTTTTTTAAGATTATTTATTTATTTACTTGAGAGAGTGAGAGAGAGAGCATAGGAGCAGGGGCAGAGGGAGAGGGAGAAGCAGACTCCCCGCGGAGCAGGGAGCCCGATGCAGGGCTCTATCCCAGGACCCTGAGATCATGATCTGAGCCAAAGGCAGATGCTTAACCAACTGAGCCACCCAGGCGCCCCCAGGACATTATTATTAACTAAAGTCCATGCATTATTCAAATTTTCTCCATTTTTCCTAATATCCTTTCTCTGTCTCGGGACTTCATGTTACATATAGTCCTCACACCTCCTGAGACTCCTCTGGGCTGAGACAGTTTCTCAGACTTTCTTGTTTTGATGACCTGGGCAGTGTATAGGAGAACTGGTCAGGTGTGTTGTGGGAAATTCCCCCAGTTGTGATTTGTCTGGTGTTTTTTCAAGGTTGGCCTGGGAGTGACAACTTTGGGGAGGACCACAGAGGTGAAGCGCCCTGCTCGTCACACCAAGTCCACAGGACATGCCATCAGCATGATTCTTCACTGTGATGTTGACCTGGATCACCTGGCTGAGCTGGCCTTGTCGGGTGTCTCCACTGCGAAGTTACTCTCCCCCCTCCCCCCGGCACCCCCCTCCTCCGTTGGTGCTGTGCCCTGCGGAAGAAAGTTGCCATGCGCAGCCCACACCTACAGGGTGGGGGGAGTCACGCTTCCTTCCTGCACAAATTATTTTGAATTCCTTTCTTCTCCCTGTTTCTCTATTCAATCATCCACATCAGTATGGATTATTTATTTTATACTTTGGGTTAAAATCCAATACTATTTCATTGATTTTCCTGCTCAAACGGTTTCAGCTTTGGCCATCGGAGGCTCACTCGGTTGGTTCTCAGGGCTCTTTGACACTCCCCCATCACATCCATGGTTTTCCCCTCTTAGCACTTCCTTACTCTGTCCCTACAAAAAGCTTCATACTCATCTCCTATATTTCCTGCCCCGGTCCTAGAATCAACCTTTTCTTCAAGGAGCTGCCCTGGGTGCCTCTTGCTGGAGAATACAGTAGTCTCCCCTTTTGCACAGTGTGGTGGTCTGTGATCAACCGCACTCCAGAAGCAGATGATAGCCCTTCTGACATATGGCCAGAAGGTCAACAGCAGCCTCACGCTACGTCACAAAGCCTGCGTCATTCACCTTGCTTCATGTCCTCACGTAGGCATTTTATCATCTCCCATCTTCACAAGAAGGGCGAGTACAGGACAAGATGAGAATGTAAGAGATAGGCCACATTCACATAATTTCTATTATATTGTCATAATGTGCCTAATTTATAAGTTATACTTTAGCATAGCTATGTATGTATAGGAAAAATCATGGTATAGATATAGGGTTTGGTACTGTCTGTGGTTTCAGGCATCCACTGGGGATCTTTATTTTTTTAAGATTTTATTTATTTATTTGAGAGAGACAGAGAGCACAAGCAGGGTGAGGGTCAGAAGGAGAAGCAGACTCCCTGCTGAGCAGGGAGCCCAATGTGGGACTCCATCCTGGGACTCTGGGATCATGACCTGAGCCGGAGGCAGACGCGTAATGACTGCGCCACCCAGACGCCCATCCACCAGGGATCTTGGAACGTTTTCCCACAGATAAGAGGGGCACTGCTGTACTAACACAAACGGAGATCTGGGCACGAGGGGTGCTGCTTCCTACTGGGGGGTCATTGCTTCTAGGCCCTCACAGCTGACAGAGCAAGGACACAAAATGTGTGTATTACCGGTTTATTGACACAGACCTGTAAATATCTCCATGTGTAACTGTCCGCGTCTGTATTAAGTTACACATGAATTCATGCAGACGTCTCCGCATCTCATCCATTAGCAAATGGATTCTTCTAGTCTCCCCTCGCCTGTCTATAACCTCCCACTCCAATAGTGAGAAACCTGGCTCCCACCCTCCACCCCCCATTTGCTTAATTGTTCCATTCCAGCGTACACGTATGGTGGCTCCAGGATGTTCACCTGTGCCCATAGTGAGGGTTTCAGACAGGGACGGGTCACCTTCCTCTCCAGCTCCAAACCCTCCTCTAGGGCTCAGCATCCTCAGTAAAGACCCCACACCCTCCCCACAGTCCTCCGGGCCTGTGCAGCAGGACCCTGTCTACAACCCTGTCCTCGCCTCTCCCTGCCCACTCACTGCTGTCCTGACAAAATCAATCCCACCTCAGGGCCTTTGCTCCTGCTGCTGTTCCCTTGCCTGCAGGGCTCTCCTCCTAGCTCTACATCTGACTGGTAATTCAGCTCTTAGTTCCTACTGGAAGCCCTGGTCAGGCTTCCTTCCAGCCCAACGCTGACCCCCCAGGGTTAGGGTATTGCGTTGGGCTCAGCCCTTCCCCCAACAGGGTGGAAGCTTTGTGGGGGCCCTGGAACCACTCATCTGGGCCAAGTGCCCATACACTCCCCATACACACCTCCCCCAAGCCCCAGCCAGGGTGAAGGGGTTGGGAGCGGTTATTCTTATTTTATAGGATAGGGGACTGAGGCTTGGGGACAGGAAGGTACTTTCTGAAGTCACACACCAAAGACATGTCAGAGACAAAACTTAATCAGGTGCACTGGTGCCAAAGCACTCACGTGCCTTGACCTTGGATCCTAAAACAATGTTGTGGGGGTGGGGAGGCCTGGATGCAGAACTGGCTGCTGGGAAGGAAACCTGGGGGTCCAGTCACTGCCAATACAGCCTGAGGCCACCTGGAGGTTCAGGACAATTTTCTTATTTCTGAGATAGGGGAAGCGAGGGTCAGGGGCCCACAGAGAGGTTAAGTAACATCCCCAAGGTCACCAGCAGTGCCACCATTTCCTGAGCACCTACTATGTGCCGGGTGGGGCTAAGGCACATACTGTGTGTAGATGGGCGGCTGCCTTGTCCTGTCCTGGCAGCAACCCAGACTACAGACTAGAAGGAAACAGAGGAGAGTGACTTGCTGGTGGACAGGGTGGCATTTTAATGGGAGCGGGTCAGGGAGAGCCAGAGGAGGGGCTGGGGTGGGGTAGGCCAGAACCAGAAGGAGAACAGGGAGGGCTTCTAGAGGAGGGGCCCTAGCAGGTGGGGTTTGGAAGATGATTGCTTATTGCCCTGCTCTTCCTGGGAGAGGTAATCCCTCCCTCCTCCACCATTATCTCCTAAGAGCCCACATCTTCCCAGAAAAGTATCCCAGCACTCCCCCTCCCTGCCCCCACCCTTGAAGGGGAAGTCCCAGCTGCTCAGTAGAGTGTCCCGGCAGGCCGCTGTAGGGCCA